AAAAACAGATAGTATCGGCTTAAGAGGAATCCACTACCACTACCATTGTGATCCGTCATGCACAGGTATTCTAAACAATGACCATCATCCTCAACTGACCCTAGCTTAGTGCATATCGTCAACTGACCCTCGCTTAGTGCATCCATACCTAAAGATCAATCAATCATTAGGTTGCCCTTGGCCCCCTGATTGCCAAGAATCCACAATCAGTGCCTTTGAGCATCACATCAACCTACAAGCGAAGTCGTGAATCTCGTCTGCAAATAATCTCATCTCGTACAGTTGTAAACGAAAAAAAAAAAAAAAAAAATCGTTTGTTTGGCCATCGTCTCTGCCACGCCGTCCATGAACATTCATTATAATATGTAACTACATTTTTCCTCTAGGATTTGACTATTTGATCTCATTAGGCTTACAAATTGTCGTATTTCTTTAGATTATGCGCTCTGTATGATCAGAGCAAAAAATAACGAAGGGATAATTAGAAGAATTGATAAAATCCGCGGACGAATCGAAGAAAAATAACGAATCGACAAAATGCAATTACAAGTTAAGGAAATTTAATATATTTCCGTTCATTTAATAAATCAAAGCTTGTGAAATCGGTAGAGACATCATTAAGGTGGCATCTATTTGTCATAAAAGCCAACACTCAAATCTGCTCTTGGCAATGTAGAAAATAACAATGAAAAAAATCAATTAAAAACACGCTTGGAATGACGCCACTCCTTCCATCACGTGACGGTTCCCTTGGATTTTGTAGCTTTTTTCACTCAAACTTACTTCGGGTCATTAAAATCCCTTCCTGTTAGCTTTCTCAAGTTCTCATCGACGCCTTTTAAGTCCTGCTTCGCCCTCTCTATTTCCGTTTCTATGGCGTCGACGAGCGAGGTTCCCGTCACGCCCGGCGCCATCTTGCTCTCTGGTCCGTAGGTCAGGCTCGCGTACTTGATTTTCATTGAATGTCTTCATGTTCATTTTAATGTTTTTGCTGAGTAAAATATATTGTAGTATGATGCCTTAGATAATATATTGCTAATAAATTTACAATTATATGCTTCGCATTTTCGGCTTTTAAAAATGTGAGGGGTTGTGTAATGGACATTTATTGGCGCTTTTTTTTAGCCTTTGGCGTTTTCAATATTACTTTTAGCGTTTCTACTTTGTTTGGGGTATTTCTTTTTGTATG